TTTATCCAGCAATGCTATCATGCAGAATAGAAAGTCAGATAAAGAGCTTCACAGATAAGAAAAAGCTAAAGGAGATCATCACCACCAACCCAGCATTATATGAAATGCTGAAAGGTATCCTTTAAGAAGAGGAAGAAGAAGAAAAGGTAAAGATACAAATTATGAACAACAAATACACATCTATCAGCAAGTGAATCTAAAAATCAAGTGAAGTGCTTACAGCTCTTTTTGAATTTGTCCAGCAGGTCTTCCGGCTCGTCCCGGAAGGCCCTCCCCAAACCGCGAGTTCATGGCAACAATAGAACCACTCGGGGCCCGGGCGGGCGTTCTTCTACCTGCTCGTTAGAGCGTCACGCCCCCGAGTGTTCCCAGTTCCTCGGGGTTCCGTGGGGTACTCTGGGGGGCGCCCGAGGAACTTCCGGCTGTGGCTGGCTCTCCCCCCGCCCCCAGTACCCCGGGGAACCGGTCGGCGGCCTCCCCCTCTTCCCGGCATTTCCTAGGTCCTGCCGTCCGTGCTGCTCCCGTGGCGCTATGGCGTCCGCCTCGGCCCAGGCTGCGGCCCTGAGCGCCGAACAGGCCAAGGTGGTCCTGGCCGAGGTGATCCAGGCGTTCGCGGCCCCCGAGAACGCCGTGCGCATGGACGAGGCTCGGGACATAGGTCAGGTCATCAAGGCCTATGGCTTCAGCTGCGACGGGGAAGGTGGGTCGGCCGGGATGGGGTGGAGTTGGGGAGAAACGCGCTGGGTTCGTTGTCCTGACTGTCGTCTCCCTTCTCGCCACACGGAGGCAGCCACAATCCGTCTAATAGTATTGGCCCTGAATGCCTAGGTCCTAGGAGCTACTCTGAAATGCGCCAGGTGAAGTCCTCAGAGGCCTATGGCTTCAGCTGCGACGGGGAAGGTGGGTCGGCCGGGATGGGGTGGAGTTGGGGAGAAACGCGCTGGGTTCGTTGTCCTGACTGTCGTCTCCCTTCTCGCCACACGGAGGCAGCCACAATCCGTCTAATAGTATTGGCCCTGAATGCCTAGGTCCTAGGAGCTACTCTGAAATGCGCCAGGTGAAGTCCTCAGTGCATTTTGTAGTTACCATCAGTTATACTATTATTCCATTTTAAGATGAGGAAACATACTCTTGTAGTAAACTAAGTGCCGGAGGGTCGTCACCGCAGAGCCGGACCTGAATCCCGTTTTGAAAGCTTTTCATCTGCGTAATAGCAGCTTCTGCAGTCCCTCCAAGGTGTTTGGGCTGCTCTCTGCTTGAGGGCTGGAAGTTCAGTTTCTTTAATGAGATCATGGTATTCCCCAGGGTGTTGACTGATTTAGGCCGGTCACCCCCTGGCCCCCCTGTGTTGTGGTTATAGATATGGGGTCTTTCCTGGGTGTTCATACTTTGGATTCCTGTGACTAAATTGCTAAAAGTGTTCACTCGATAGGGAGAAGCACGCTCGCTGCCTTGGGATATTTCCATTCCCTGCATCCCATCTGGTTGTGCTCCCAGTAGCCGAGAAAGTGGTTGATCCAGACCCCCAGGGCAGAGGCCTTTCATGTGCCTTGTTTTGCAGACAGCTACCTGCCGAGTGACTCATGCTCAGGCTACCCTCTGTCCTCGTCTTGAGCACCTCCATTCCCTGGGGGTGTGGGTTGACCTCAGACCCCACCCCCCCTTGCAGGTGTCCTGAAGTTTGCCCGCTTGGTCAAGTCTTACGAAGCCCAGGATCCTGAGATTGCCAGCCTGTCGGGCAAGCTGAAGGCACTGTTCCTGCCGCCTATGACACTGCCACCCCACGGGCCTGCTTCAGGTGGCAGCGTAGCCGCCTCCTGAGAGTTGGCCTCGCCGTGACATTGCCTGGGAAGGGAAGATCTCCGTGTCCCGGTGGATAATAAACATGCCTGTGATTTCTTCTCAGCGTCATTCTTTTGTGACCTGACAAGCCCCCCTCCTGGCCCCGGATTCCCTCTGCCATTTCAGTTGCTCATGTCCCTGTCCAGATCTTCCTATGCTCTTGCTGGGCCCAACCCTGCTCCAAGGCAGGGTCAGAGGGTGGGCCGGCCCTTCAACACCCTGAGCAGGTGAGCCTGCACAGGTAGTACCTCTGGTGAGGAATGGGGCTTCCTGGGCTTTCCCTGCGGCCCCTTGGTGGCTGCGAACCAGAAAGTTCCCTCATTGGCTGGTGTTCACTAGGCCGGTGTTACTTCCTGGTCCTTGCCCCCACCCGCCCTCCTGCGGCCCTGTCAGCTTGCATTCCAGGTGGAGCTCCAGGTGGCTCCTCCCCTCCCCGTGGAAGGAGGCCCTGGACCGGCAGGCAGGCACGCCCTGGACTCTCGACCTGACCGGAGGAGTAGGGCTGGAGGGAAAAGCAGGCTGCTGTGGGTGGTCTGAGGCCAGCCCCACCTCACCTGCCCCGTTGCTGGGGATCCTTAGTGCAGGGGCTTGTTCCTGCCGTCCCCTTGGCCTGGTGGACAGCATCGAGGAGGAAGCGGCTGCGTTCAGAGCATTCTTCTCCACCAGGTCTGGGCCACCGCACTGCTGCGCCTTGGGCTCAGCCCGCCCCGCCCCTCTGGCTCTCTGCCTGTGACTCCCCCATCCTCTGGGGAGATGCTGTCCCGTGGGTAAGTCCCCTGCTCCACCTGGGCGCTACAGTCTCCTGTTTGGAGGGAGGAGCAAGGTTCACACTCACTTCTGACACGTGTGTGACCGGGAGTGCGATCTGTCACTGCTCCCTGCCCTGGGTCTGCATCCTGTCTCTACCCTCGAGTTTTGAGGAGCTCCAGGCTTATTCATGCTTCTGGGGGGACTCACCCCCTTCTCTGACACTGTTCCCTGACACGTGTCACCATTGCATTTCTCTGTCCATCCTCCGTTCGCCTGCTTTTGCTGTTTGCTTAGTTAGGCCTGTCCCCCGGGTAGCCCACATCACCTGAAACATAACGTGTCTGAAAGACAGACCTGAGAAAGCTTGTCTTCGTTCCACTTTCTTTCAGTTCCTCTTCACTTCCCCTCCCCTGTATCATTCATACACAGTTACATGGTGAGCACTTTTGAAGGTTCTGGCTATAACTAGCGGACAGGGCAGATACGGTCCCTGCCCTCATAGAGCTTCACTTCAGTGGGAGGCGACAGACTACACGAAGAACCCTATTAATAGGATATTTTCTGATTCTCAGAAGGGAAAAGAAACAGCTTCATGTGCTCGCAGGTGACTGGGCTGCCGGCGCCCTCACTGGCTGGAGGGGTCCAGGGGGGTTTTCCTGAGGAGGGGACGAGTGAGTCAGAGCCCCTGGGCAGAGGGAATGGTGAGGGAGGGGCCTTGCTGTGGGGGCAATGACACAGGGACAGTGCCTGAAGCAGGTAAATGGGTGGGGAGGAAAGCAGGGCCCGGCAGGCCTGTTGGAGTTGGTGACCATCTACATAGTGAGGACCTGCTTGGAGTGTTGATGAGTTGGTAGGTTGGTCGCCCCGCTCTTTTCATTGGTGCTGCCTTCCCCAGGGCACACGGTTGTCACTGTCAGCCCCACTGACTGTCTTCTGGACAATCCCATCCATGCTCCCACCGTGATCATCTTCTCACCAGCCGGTTGGAAAGGCCTCTCCCGGTGCAGGTTCCTTCCCCGGATCCTCAGCCGGGCCTCGTAAGGCTCTGCAACAGGCCCAGCCTCTCAGAGCAGCTTTGCAGCAGGCAGCCCGCTCCACTCACACGCAGCCCTGCTCCAGCGGATCCTGCGTCCCCCTAGGGCCATGCCAGCACCCTCCCCCCAATACCCTACCTCCACTGAGGTCTGCTGCAGCAGTGTGGCCATTGTGTGGGGAAGGACAAGCTCTGGTGTCAAATAACCTTGGTCTGTCCACCTTCCCACTCATGTGCTTGTGACCTTGTGCCAGTTACTTAACGTCTCTAAGCCTGTTTTTTTTTTTTATTCTAAAATTGAGCTAATAAGACCTAATAAATAGGGTTGGCATGTGGGTTAATTTGTAATGTAAGAGCTGCTGGCACTAAAACCCTACTGCGTATCAGCTTTTTAAAAAATATATTTTTTTAATTGATTTCAGAGAAGAAGGGAGAGAGAAATGGAAACATCAATGATGGCCTGGCCGGCATGGCTCAGTGGTTGAGCGTCGACCTATGAACCAGGAGGTCACAGTAAAATTATGGTCAGGGCACATGCCTGGGTTGCAGGCTCCATCCCCAGTGTGGGGCGTGCAGGAGGCAGCCGATCAATGATTCTCTCTCATCCTTGATGTTTCTATCTCTCTTTTCCAGGTGCTGAGGAATGGGGAAGCTCAGGAATTTCCTAGGCATTTCACTTGGCTATTGTAGACCCCTTATCTTTCTACTTCACCACCGATCTCTATCTCTACCTTTATCTCTCTGTTTCCCAAGTGAATACTTTTCTCTTCTGAAGCGCTAGGCACTTATTTTGTAACTCTCGGCCTCCTTCAGCCCGTTCTCCTTCCTTAAAAAAGTGAGGGAAATAATCTCTACATCAGAGGGATGCATGAGGCCCAGGTGGGACTGGGTCTGTGCGAGTGCTCTGAGGATACTGGAGCGCTTATACAAGGTAAGGAAGGCGGTGGTTCTTCATGTCCCTGTTAAAGGGTCAACAGAGACTGTACATCTTATCGTCGTGTCTGTCTTCTGGCTTGACACCTTCCAGAAAAAGTCCTTCCTCTCCCAAGGGTCAGGCGCTCCTGGGTGCCTAGCTAGTTTCTTCCCACCCAGAAGGAGAGAGGGCTGGTCTGGGGTGCAGTGGGTGTTCAGTGCTCAGCAGGGACCTGGAACTTTGCGTGGGGTCAGGATAAAGTGTCCAGGTGGGTATTTGTACCAAACCAGGGATGTGTGTCGATGGACATGGCGATGAGGTGCATGTAGTGGGACTGGGTGGGTGATTGTGTGTGTGTGTCTGTGTGTGTATGTGACAAGGGAGGGGTATATGTGTAGGACCAGGAGCTAGACTTGTGACCATGTCCTTGCATAGGTTTTGATGAGCTTGTTTATGGGACACATGCTCTGTGCGAGGCATTGTGCTAAGCTTTGAACATTTGGAGGTGAGCAAGACTGGTGGTGGGCCCCTGTGGTGGAGCGGGCTGTGCAGCCGCCCTTCGGCCCTTGCTGTGGGAGGGAGTTCACGGTCATTCAGAGTGGCTGTCCAAGACTGGAGGGGAACCCGGCTGGGCAGCTCAGTTGGTTAGGGCGTCATCCCATAAGCCAAGATTGTGGGTTTGATTTCCAGTCAGGGCACATTCAACAAGCAACCAATGAATGCGTAAGTGGAATGACAAATCAGTGTTTCTCTTTCTCTCTCTCCCTTCCTGTCTCTTTCCTAAAAAAAAAAACAATTTAAAACATTTTTTAAAAAAGACTGAAGGGGTAGTCAGCATCAGACCACGCAGTAACCAGGCCAAGCAAGTTCCCCAGGGTACCTGAAAGAGGTGGGAAAAAGCCCTTTTTTGGGGAGGGGGAAGGGGGGGGGGAAGGGGGAATTGATGTTTGATGTTTTAAAAAGTGATATAGTAGTCATCATAGAAAAACAGACTTTTGTTGGGCTTTAAGACTTTGTTATTTTTTTCCTTATTTTTTATTGAGGTTGGCACACATAATGTGCATATATGTAAGCCTGGTGAACATCAGCACGCACCCATGTGTATACCACCTAGATCAAGCAGCCCAGAGCTTTCCTGGAAATTGCTACCTCCAAGTCAGTTTATGTATTTATATATTTTTTAAAATATATTTTATTGATTTTTTACAGAGAGAAAGGGGAGGGATAGAGAGTTAGAAAAATCGATGAGAGAGAAGCATTGATCAGCTGCCTCCTGCACACCTCCTACTGGGGATGTGCCTGCAACCAAGGTACATGCCCTTGACTGGACTCGAACCTGGGACCTTTCAGTCCGCAGGCTGACGCTCTATCAGTGAGCCAAACCGGCGAGGGCCCAGTCAGCTTATTTTTATAAAGGTAATACATGCCCATGCCACAACTTTCTTAAAGGTATAAGGGAGGAGTCACCATCTCTCCAGCCGCCCAGACTCCCCCCAGGGGAAGCCACCAATCTGAGTTTCTTGTCTGTGCTTTGTTGGGCTGCTTTCCTCTCACGTTGGTTGGGTGGTTTGTGTGGAATTACACACTGAGAGCATCATGCCCTTGTAGTGTTCAGGGCCTCTCAAGGTCAACCAGCCCTGAGACTATCAGCCGTGGCAGGGCAGGGACCGGGGCCCCAGACAGGCCTCGGTCAGGGTCCTGAGCTCTGACTGATTGAGACCAGACCTGCTCGGCAAGAAGCTATGGCTCAGACATAGGGTGGTTGGACCAAAGGGGCCTGTCAACTCCGTCCCCACCTGCCTCCTTGACTCCAACTCCCTCCCTGTCCTCATTCTGTTCCTGGGCTCCAACTACATGGTTAGGGCAGGGTAGGCGCAAAGGCCTGGGGGCAAGAAATAGAAAAGGTGCCAGTTTCACAGGGGTCATCTATCCACTTCTCTGCCCCAGGGGCACCCCTGCAGATGTGAATGCTGGGAAGGCGAGGGCAGCCTCCTTCAGAAGCATCTACAGGTCTTGGCTGTTGGGGACCCGCCCCTTCCCACTACAACTTCCCCACACTCCCTGAGCCTCGGGTCCCTTGTCTGTAAAGTGGGACAGTCCCTGCTTCATAGGGCTATTGTGAGGAGTAAATCAGGCGAGGGTTGTAAAGGATCTTATAGCACAATGTCCGGCACACGGCATGACTCCATTACATGCAGCGATCACCGTGACCATTATTATTAGCTTGGAACAGGGAAGGCAGTGTGGAAGCAGCTGGGAGGAGGAAGAGATGGTGTGTGACTGTGGGGGTTCACATGTATGGAGCATGATCTTCTCCCGGAGGGTTCAAGGTGTACATGTGTCCTTATTTGTGGAATGCCATG